TTTTTTTTTTTTGACGGACATGCAGATTCAGCTACTTACGTCGGCCGTCCCGCTAGAGGCGTAGGCAGCGGATCTGGAAAAGAGGACAAAGGGATATTTGACCCCAGGGTAAATATTATCATAACCACATTTGTTTCTGTGTTAGCTGCCAGCTACATGCAAGAATAGGTCGAGTGTTGTTAAGTGGAGCCAGATCCCCTCCAGGAAAAGCGAAATCAGAAAGAAAGTTAAATTATACCAAGATGGTTAAACACAGCTCATAAAATGTTTTCAATGTGATGTAGGAAAGTGATTCCCTTTTTAGTGTGGCAGGCTGTTTTGGACTGCTCAGCTGCCACAGGCACGAACTCTAACAAGTTTTCTTGAGTACATGCTTACCAAATTTGACGAAGAGCACGCCTGTGGTCGACACTGTGCCCTGGGTGTTGGTAGCTACACACTGGAAGTAGCCAGTGTCTGTGGTGTCCAGATTGCGAATGCGAAGACGCGACCCATATGGTGTGGACCGGAACGAAACCCGTCGTGGCTCCTGTACCACAGGCGCGTCATTCTTTAGCCAGCGTACTGTCGGTGGTGGGTTGCCCGACACGCGACAGAACAGTTCAGCTGTTTGGCCCAGAGAGGTGGTGATGTTGTTCATCGGAGTTTCAAGACGGATAAAAGATAGCCCTGAAAGACAGGAATGCAAAACGATGTAAGGGACTAACATCAAAGAGGTGAGCACAGCTTTTCACAATATGTAAGGAGAGCCAGGTGATGGGTAAGGTGAAAAAAAATATGAGCATAATGTCTATCGATCATGCATCCATCCATCAGTCCTCTGGATCTGTCTTCCTCACGAGTGCTGCGGGCGTGCTGCAGTCCAACCCAGCATTATTTGTGTGAATGTTCGAAGCAAACATGTTTTTCTTCTTTCAACTACTACTTCTACATTTCTCGACTGATTCGAATTATTCCAACTGTAACATACTTGAAAAATGTACGCCTTGAGGGCTATTACTTTTCTCATTCCAAACATTCATAGTTTTCCCACGAGTCCACAGTTTGCCCCCAAGAATTCTCCATTTTCAATGACACGTTCAAAAATTCGTTCCCATTCGAAATGC